AATATATAACGTAATAATACTTACCTATAGGTAACACCTAACATATAGTAACTTCGAACTGATCCATCTTATTATAAATTTAAACAAGGCTTGTATATTAATTAAGCATAATCTATTGACATTTAATATACTAATTAATATTCAACGGAATATAATACATAATTCATTAAAATGAAAACTTGTATTATACTGCATTAATGGCGATATAGAATATAAATAAATGCAAAAGCTACGAGATATGACTGGAGTTGAAATCTATTTGACACTTCTGTTTTAGTAAAAAATAAAATAAAACAACTCATCAGGCTTTAAAATGAAATAAATACAAGAAATATAACAAGTGGGTGGATGCTCCCTGGGAAACGGAAGTGTAGTCCACGTATATTCGATTTTCGATTTCTTTGTGGCATTAACTTGGTAATCATGTCTCACTTATACCGACAAGTTCGGCCATGTTGAATATTCAGTTAATTTTTGACAGGTACTTTGCTTGCACATGTTCTGGCTTGTCTTCGATTTTTACCTATTCCAAAAGATGGATCGAAGAATCTGTATCAAATTTTGTGTGAAAAACAAAATTAATTGAGCAGACGCATTCCGAATGTTGTCTGCGGCTTTTGGTCAAGCTATCTTGGACCGAAGCAACGTTTATCGGTGGTACAAAATGTTGCCAGAGGGCTGAGAAGATGGGAATGACGAAGACGGTGCCGGACGCCCGAGCACGTCAACAACAGGCGAAAACATTGATGAATTGAAGAAAATAGTGTTGGCCAATTGTCGAATCATCATTAGAAAGTTGCTGAGAATCTATATATATATCGATTGACTCCTACCATTCGATTTTTACCAATAATCTGGGCATGAGATGGGTGGCCGCAAAATTCGTACCAAAATTGCTCAATTTCGACCAAAAACAGTATCGCATTGACATTGTTAAGGAAAAGGTCATAACTGCTTACGAATCATGGGTTTATGGATATAATGTGGAAACCAAAGGTCAATCATTCCAATGGAAGATGCCGAAAAAAGCTCCCCAAGTTAGATCGAATGTGAAGGTTTTACAGTTTTCTTCGATTGTAGGGGTATGATGCATCATGAGTTGTTGTCACAGGGTAGAACGGTCAATAAGTAATATTACCCGCAAGTTATGCGCAATTTGCGCGAAGCAATCCGCCAGAAACGCCCGGATTTGTGGAAGAAAAAAAAATTGGCTTTTGCACCATGATAACGCCCCTGCCAGCGGCGGATTATCCACAAGACAAACTAGGCACATGCCTAGGGCGCAAGGTTAGAAAGGGGCACGGGCGGTAAAGTAAAAAATATATATAAGAAAGTATCTGTTTCCAAAAATTATTTGGCAAAGTATATAACCGCCAGAGGGGCGTCTACGAGGTGATAGCCTAGGGCGCTCTCGACATTTAATTCGCCTCTGGGCCCTGCTCACACATGTGACCTTTTCTTGTTCCCTGAAGAGGCTCATGAAAGCACGACTGACCCAGTCTTGGAATTGATCTTGGTCTTG